GACTTTAATACGAACAGATGGTGGTACATTTGTACAAGACAATAAAAATTATGAATTTTTAGAATCGGAGAATGGTGTTTGGAATGCTAAGAAACGGAAAATTACTAATGTAGAAAAGGGTGAAAGTTTAGATGATGTGCCCACTTTACAACAGACTTTAATACGAAAAGAAGATGGTAAATTTATACAAGATGATAATAATTATGAATTTTTAGAATCAGAGAATGGTGTTTGGAATGCTAAGAAACAGAAACTTAGCAATTTGATGGAAGGTACAGATAGTAAAGATGCTGTGAATGTTTCACAAGTTCCAAAAATGGAAGCAGGCTATTGGAGTTTTTATAATAAAAGGTTAGTACGTGTTAAACCTGCCATTGATGAAACTGACTGTGTTATAAAAGAACAGACTATAACTTTTGATAAAAAAGAAAAATGTTGGGATGCCAAAAAACAATTTATAAGAAATCTACCAGAGGGGGAACATTCGGATGATATTTGTCTAATGTCACAAGCTATGCATTACGATGGATCAAAATTTGTATATGGAGAAAAAATTTTTAATTTGATGGAATATAATCCTGATTTATTAGTTGCTGACCCCACATCTTTGAGTGGATTTAAGTATATAGATAATAGACCATATATACCAGAAAACTATGTATTTAAAAGAATGGAAGATAATCTATTGATTGGGGCTAATGGTGATGTATTTAGAGTTACAGGAAAGGATGATGTTATAAAAAATGAATGAAATTGCATACGAACTTCATAAGCCTGCAAGAAAGAATTTCATTAGAAGGTCTTTTAAAGTATCTATATATATAAAAGGCAAAGCCCTCACTGACTCACTCACTCACTCACTCATCACTAATTCTCCCACTTCCCATTTACATAGAAGGCTGAAATTCGGTACACCGATTCTTTGGGCATTAAATAGGAAAACTAAGTAGTTTTTATTCTGATCGGGCTTTCGGGCTCCGCCCCAGTGGCTCTGGAGTTTCCCATGTTAACCTTATGAGTACTCATATTTAAATGGAATTAAAGAATCTTAACAGCTGTTTCAATTAAATAAGTTGGTTCTGTTCTATGATGTTCAATAGCATTAAAGTTACAAGGATTACCAACAGAGTGCAGCACTATTATTTTTTTAAATTTATGACACAGCTAATTTGCAACCAAAAGGTGAGTGAGCGTAGCGAAAGAACTTCAACCTGGAGGCGAGTTAGCATAGCGAACGAGTTAACCTGAAGGCAAGTGAGCGCAGCGAACGAGCTCCAACCTAAAGGTGAGTGAGCGTAGCGAACGAACATCAACCAGGACGTGATCATGCCATGCGAACGAGATCATCTTTTGAAAATTAAGAAGTTAAACGGGGCAAAGCCCGGGGGTACAGCTAGTTGGGTATAAACGAAACCATACAAATAGATTTAATTGATATGCAAAACTATGCTAGAGAGAATTCTGGCAATAAATATATTTTAACTTTAATAGATACATTTTCTAAAAAAGCTTATGCTGCTCCACTAAAGAATAAGACAGGGTTGGTGGTTACAGAAGCCATTAAAACCATTCTACCAAAGGGGGTTAAAAACATTCAATCCGACAATGGAAAAGAATTTTTTAATCAATATTTTAGCAAACTAATGAAAAAATTAAATATTAATCACTATCACACATTTTCTACAACTAAGGCTGCAATTGTGGAGAGGTTTCAGAGAACTTTAAAGAATTGGTTATATAGAGAATTTAGTGCTCAGGGGAGTTATAAATGGTTGGATTTACTTCCAAAGTTAATTCGAAAATATAATAATAAAGTGCATAGATCTATAGGTATGAAGCCTAACCAAGTGAATATTAAGAACAGTAAATATGTGCATGAGAGGTTGCATGAAAGGACTTCTAAAGTAGTGCAAGTTAAAAAGCCAAGATATAAGGTAGGTGATAGCGTGAGAATTTCCAAATATAAACATGTGTTTAGTAAAGGATATACCCCAAATTGGACAGGGGAACTATTTACAATAGTAGAAGTTAAGAATACAAAGCCTGTGACTTATATCTTGAAAGATGAAAATGGTAATATAATCAGAGGAGGCTTCTATACAGAGGAGTTGTTAAAGACCAAGTATAAAGACATGTATTTAGTAGAAAAGGTAATTAGGAGGAAGGGTGATTTATTGTATGTCAAATGGCTTGGGTTCCCAAGTAGCCAGAACTCATGGATTTCCACAAAGGATGTCCAAGGGAGCATGCCCGCGACCAGGAGCGCGCCCACGCCATGAGCCGAGTTCGCACATACATGATTTTGGAATAGAAATATAATTATATCAACTGGAAAGGGGAATGGTAGATGTACTAGCAATTGTGCATGGGGCAGAGGGGAGTGGTGAGGGGGTGAGGGGGGGGGGGTTGGCCCAAAAACCTCGAACCACAAAAAACGGCCGCGACAACCTATACTACTATACATATACACATACATGGGTCAATAAATGATTTTTTTTTTTATTTTTGCTTAATATCGAATATATTTATGGGGAATAACTAAGAAATAAGGTTTGACAATTTTTATAGGGATTTGCAGGCAAAGATCAGGATTTTAGATTTGGTGGCCAAAAATAATCCCCATAAGAATAACATGGGAAAAACGTGTCTAAAGTGAGGTAAAACCGGCAGTTCTCCACTACTCATAAAAACTTCAAAATATTGAGCGGACATCTAAATACCCACTTACAGACCGGACAATTATAAAGAAAGCCCAATCGACAGAGTTTCATTACAGTAATGGGAGGTCGCGTTGTACAGGACGTTGAATGTTAAAGATGGTTAATGTGACCTGTCAGAATTGCCGCCACTTTAGAGGTCACGTGAGCAGAGGTCAATTAAAGGTCGCAAGTGACCGTGTAGCGTGTCATGTGTCGTGTCGTATGTCCACTACGCGGTGAGGCGGTCAGTGGCTGCGAGAGTGCGTGAGTACGAGGTGGGGGCTATTGGAGGGGTAAAGGCGATAACAGTGATGTGAACATTACAGACCAATCTCAATTCTGTGCGGTTTTTGGAAATTGTGAAAATTTTGCAATCATTTTAAGAAATGGATGATTTGGGACTTTCAATGTGGGGAACGGTGATTTTGAGGCACATTTGGAATATTCAAAATGTATACATGGCTTGATTAACAGTTAAATTTGTTTATGAAATTGTCGACAGTTTAATAATAAGTAAGGTTGTCGTTTTGACAAAGTAGTGTGTCGTTTGAATAAGTAAGTTTTAAAGTTATGAGGTTGGACTAGGCTCATTGTAGAGGTAATTCATCTATAACATGTACTAAATTTATATTTTGAAACTTTTAATGTAATGAATGGTGATTTAAAGGCCCATTTAGTTTTTTTTATTGACACACTGTTGGAATAACAGTTACATTTTTGTTCATGAAATGGTCGACTTGTCAATGAGTTTATATTTTAGATCGGAAACTTTGGGATTGGTAAAAAGAAGCTTGTTGTAAAGGTAAATAGTACAAGTTACATTACTGCAATAGAAATGGAGAGTAGTATTAACTAGCTGTTACTTACGGGCTTCACCCCGTTTGACTTGATAAGTATTGATAAAACTATTGATTGGTTAAGATAAGCTGAAATAAACAAAACAGAATACAGTAATACAAACAAATAAAATAATCACACCCGATTTTAATAAGGTAATATAAATTGAAAGAATAACAAACCAAAAAGTACAGCTGAGGTATTTTTATTATTAGGTATATGGAAAGTTCCCTGTTTGAAAAGGAATTACCTTAAAGGGCTATTTATTAAATAATGGATAGTTTTGCGCAAGGTTTCTCGTCATGACGAACATTTTAAGTATGTGGTTTATGGGGGTGTGACTTGTTTGTAGTTTTCTCAAAATTTCATCGGTACTTTGGGATCTATATAGATAACTAATTTGTAAATAGCAATGGTGACATTCAAGTCAGGTACATCCTCCAACTAACGGAGCGGATCAGCTGGTGTAACCTTGATCTTGGCACGAGTGACGTAACACCTGTTTCGCCGGGGAGTGTTGTGTAACACGAACACCATGAGATTTTATGGGGATTGATGTGAACTACACACACAACCAAAATCAAATCGTACTCGTGGTATAGTGAGTGTTAAATATTAGTTAGAAAATAAACATTATGAGCTTATACATTTTTGTAAAATGATTAACATAAACCTATTATATAATAATATCTCTGAGTCTTAGACAAATGATCAATTATTTTGTTAACCACTAAATCACTAAATCACCATGTTTAAACAATATTCTATTCTATTGTTATTCTAATAGTATACGTTGTGAACACTAATGAGAAATTATTATATTTCAAAGAATAAATCTGCATTAATCAAAAATATGTAATGTACATATAGCTTGGATAACCTCTCTATTTCCACCCCACGCTGTAAATAGAACATGTGTTTGGAATTTATTCAATTTGTTTTGATTTTCTGTTTATATTTCGTTGGTTATTTCGTCACCAACTCGGCAACTTATAATACCCATGTTAATCTTTTTTTAGTTTTAAATTAATTCTATTTTAGTTTATAAAGGGATTCTACACATCTGCTTCTAACAGTATGAGTAGATATTCCCTGCGATGCACAAGAGCTGAAAAAAGGTGTTCAAGAAACATTCTTGCCTATTATATAGGATATCTTAGGTTATTAATACCAAGTTAGCGTCGTATTTTTCAAACGGAGACAAGCATAAAACTATAAAATAAAACTAGTGAGTCGACCAAAGCTTATGCCCTTTGTATTATAGCTTAGGGCCTATTAATTAAAACAAAACATGTTATTAATTTGTATTATTCAAAAGCCTCAAACTTACATTTACCATTAAAAGTAAATAGTGTTAAATCCGCGTCCACTTGTAAGCGAAGATAGCGGTTTTAGGGCGAGACCGAAATAGCGAACGAACTCTGCGAGAGAGCAAACGGCGTGAGGTGGTTAAAAATAGACAGACCGACGGCGAGCTGGTGCAGTGCAACTTCGTCAGTAGAACCGGGGTGTCGGGAGTGAAGAGTGAGATGTCGAGGGAGCGACGCTGGTGGGGAGTGCCTCGCAGCTTCGCGGGGTTCTCCCTCTGGAGGCTGTCCAACCCCTTCGAGACTCCAGAGGATCCTGCAGAGTGCGGGAAGAAAGGGAGTGAAGGGAGTCCGAGAACCACTCCAGAGATAATTGCGAGACGAGAAGAATCAGAAGGGAAAGAAAAATCCAAAAGTCCTTCTGGTAGACTGGAAAGAAGTCCGTCGAAAAGTAGAAGCAGAAGCAGAAGTAGATCTTCAAGTTTCTCATTCAAGAGTAGAAAATCTTCTGAACGAGAAACGCCTGAAAAAGAAGTTGAGGTGAAGAAGAGTGTTTTGCCGGACATAAGTTTTACGTTTTTCAGCGAACAAGATCGCGAGTTGGAATACGTTGTTGTGGACTCTACATTGAAGAGTGTGGTGGATTCAAGCGTGGAACGAAATTCACAAGGGGATGGAATGGAAAGGATTGGAAACAATGATACGATGTCTGACGATTTTAGAAGATCAGAGAGACCTCTTAGCATGCACGATGACAGAGTGAAAAAAGTCGAGGAGGTTGAAGAGGAAGAAAATGAAGTGAGGCATTTGTCCACAGTGGTGATGACGATGAAACCTGTGGATTATTCCAACATTAAAGACTTGAAGTTGGCTGTTGAAACAATTGTGAAAGAAAACGAATACGAAGTGTTAAAGGAGAAGGAGCCTCCTTACTCGTCTCCGAGAGCTTCTAGTGTCGAGTGTTTTCCCGTATACGCGACAATTGTCAAATCAAACAAATCCTCCACTTTGGATTCCAACGAAACTCCTAATTTTGTTGACGCTCCAACGTCTATTCCAACCACTGAGTCTTCCGCGTTGGACTCTCCATGTTCTAAAGACTTCGACGAGACTTTGCCTGCAGTGCCTACCCCAGATTGGGACGAAGTGAGTTTAAACTCCGAGTACAACGCGGACTACGCTGAACTCACAACTCCGGAACCCGTGGATCCTTTGGAATCACCGGTGCCTGAGAATACTGAAACTAAGGAAGAACTGGCTTACTGTCAACACCGAGCTGAACTGAAACCGTCTCTGAGGAGGGTGACATTGCTGCGGTGTAAGAAGACGGTGAGGAGAACTCCTTCGATAGGGAGGGTGAAGAACAAACTAGGGAGAGCTTGGAGGAAAGTGCGCGGGTGGTGGATAGAGGAGAGGATAAGACTGAACGAAGTGATTTTGAAAAGAGATTCAGTCCGGGAGGCCTCCGTGGTCTCGGATGTCCCGGAGACGGTGGTCCGCAGCATGAGTGATGAGGACATCTATGTGGGGTTGAAGGGGGGTGACGAGATGAGAAGTGTTGATGACGTCATGTCCACATGTTCAACTCTGCCTGCGAGGTACCTGAGGAGGCGGAAGAGATCCCCTACACCTGTGTTGTCGAGGTCGTCCAGCGTCGCCGCGTTCCGGAGGAGCAAATTTTTCCCTGAGGTAAACAGTGATCATTTAAGTAAAAGGACGATAATATTCATAGCTGTATAATCATGTTAGTATGATTCATTTCACAGCCCAGTGAAAAAGTACGGTAGTGTTAACGAGTACGATCAGGTGACAACGCTACGGAATCTATAGTTGGAAGCTTTTTTGAAATGCTATTTCCAAAGTAGGTAACCCCTTCTGCTATTTATTAGATAAGTAATTTTTATCTTTCAGTGTCTTTCACGCATTTTTTCTTCTCGTAGGTACAGAATAACATTTTTTGGATTTATGGCCGGGTGAACTTTTGTTCATCTCTAAATGTTTAAATAGACACAAAAACATTAACATCTAGTTTGGAAATATAGAAAAATACTTAAGGTACAAAAACCCCGACAAGTAAAATATCAAATAAGTAGGTACGAATAAAGCTTAAATTTCTGTTGCCGTAGGTAAACCATTGCACTGAAACACCTGTTAATCCTTATACAATATACGAGATGTAATCTTTGATTTTACTAATCGTATAAAATTATAACGGTTCGCAAAACTTTACCCAACACATGCGTATTTCAAGGTAAGAAATCGTGTAATGTTCAATGTTGATTTGCACGATTAAGGGTAAAGGTTATCTTGGTATAGGTAATTAAAATAGTGAGGATTATATGAACTGGCTATCATTGAAATCAATGTTGGGTGAGATCCATTTTGGCACGTATCTTTCACGTATTCTTTCCTGAGTCATAACTGTTGGTCATAACAACTCCCAGACAAGACTATATGTTGCATATACAGATAAAAATAACTAAAACAAGTTAGCCTCTAAGCAATGCATTTAAAATATTTTGTTTTATCTTCGCCCAAGATAAACGATCCTGAAAGACAATGATTTCCATTTTAATGTCGTGGCTAAAGAATTGGGGAGATAGTTGGAATAATAAAAACTAGAATAATACCCCCGTCGCAGCAAACCTGCCGACTAAGCGAATTTCCATTTGTCTGAATTGATTTTCAATTAAATATATTTTGATAACATTAGGTTTAAAGAGTACCTAGGTTTGCTGCTACAAGGAAACTAATAAAGTGTGTTTTTAGTAAAATATTGATAGCTTAGTACAAAATAAATAAATTTGCCAAGTTTGATCAAAATATATCCATAAACAAGCAAACTACAACATTTGACAATACTCTCCATAAGAATAACATAGGAATTTAAAATTTAAAATTTTTTTAATTTTCTCCGTTACTAATAACCGAACAAAAATACTTTTATATAATAAATTATTTGTTTTTTTAAGCTCTTTAAAAAGGTCTAAAGAGAAATGGGGAAATTTTGTGTTTTGAGGGTCAAAAGTGAGAAAAACCAACTTTTACCCCATAAAACCCCCCGTAAAGCCCCGTTCCCATGGTCCGATCATGCTGGTTCGCGAACTCATTCAAGTTTATCCCGCTTTACACCTTTAAACCAAATTTCATCACAATCTGACAAAAATTACTCAAGTATATATATATATCTATATATTCATATATACAAATTTGAACGAATTGTGTTTTTGGCCTCTGAGGACATCAAATGAAAAAGTAAATCGGTCCCGGGTCTAGGACTTACCGTGCCACCTACGGTAATAGCTACTTCCCTATAGGGTAATTCGCTAAAATGAAAAGTGTGCTGCTGATAAAATTCATTTCCTTCTACACCACGTTTCTAAACGTGTCAAACGGGAAGGGCAACATTTATATATAATAATATTACAACTTATAGCATCTTTCATGTCTCTATCAACAATCACGTTAGGAATAGCTAATAGAAGAGATCAAATTTAACTTCAAGTAGTAAAAAACTCAATGAGAGACTCAATCTACTAAGTTCTCTATACATAAACAATTTTAAAAACTGGCCAAAGTTGGTGCATAAATGGGATCTCTCCTTCAGTAGGCAAAGTCTACGGTTTTATTGAGCGTGAGAATATAAAATAAGCTATGTTTACTGTAGAACTGGAGTAGTGTACTATGTAAGCTGTAAGCTCAGTAGCTCAGCAGGACGTGATCGAGCCTTGCGAATACTTATGAAGTTAAACGGGGCAAAGCCCGTGGGTACAGCTAGTTTGAAATAACATTGATGAATTTGAATAACCACTTTGTCGACGTGTTATTTTATCGACAGACTAGTTTACCGACATTTGTAATCGATTATAATACGAGAAATTTTATCGACATTTCTACCTCCAAAAATATTGTTAATCTTTATCCCATTATTATTGCCCAACGTAAAAACTGTCATAAAATGAATGTAATACATATTTACATAGTTAATGTCAAGGAAGTGGTTTTGCCATTACGATGAACCGAGACTAGAAAATATAGTCTGAATTCAACCTTCAAAATCTACTTAGACGTGTTCCTACAATTCTTTAGACCGTTGGCACTTGGCATATACTGTACATACACAAATAACTACTGTATGAATATTGTTTATACTGTATTATTCAAATGAGACAGTAGGCCGTGTTCAGCGGCAGTAGACCGTTGTAGGCCTACAATACATCAGTAGGTCCATGTCACCTGTCTGTTTGGGGCTTCATGCCAACATTCTTGGACTTTTGGCATCTTCACCTCTTCCTGAACTACTTTGTGGGTGCCACGTTTTTACTGAACTAAATCAGAAGCTGTGTTTTGTTTTATTGGTTTACAATGGTTAAACATAATCTTTAACCCTATACGGAATAAACAAGCTGAAACTTAAACTAAATATGGCTTGTTTGGAAGATTGTTACCTGGAGCACGATTCCTATGGTTGCATACAAATTAAAAATGATTACATTTTATATAAAACACGCAACAAACAGAAATCATGGTTACAAATCTAGTTTGCTGAAAATCAGCTTGAATTATTTATATTTATAACTGCCCCAAATAAAACACATCAAAATTTTTTAAAATAACAAGTCAACTTTAAGGTAACTGAGCTTAACTTATTTGTCCTAACCCCAATGCAACAATAGAAACAGCTGACAGACATCACACACAGCTGATTATTGAGATCACGATAATTTCCATTAGTCTCGTTTGATACAAAGATTATTTGATTCTGAAACGAGGAGGTGCCCATGGCACCTTTTGTACTGGTGCATACAAAACATGATGGATCCTTTATCAAGGCCACAAAAATATACACAACAATTTATATTGAATGAAGATACAGTTACAGCTGTTTTATCACCGAAGGCGATCCATGTTGCAGTTTTGAAACAATGCTTATTGTTGATGGTTAACAGTAACTTCCTTTTCCGTTGCAACGCATCTTTCCATTGATTCGTAAGAATTCTCATCCTTTCTAGAATATAATATGCAGGTATGTGCTGGATCATGGTCTTGCCCATAGCCAAAACCTCACCATAGATGTATTATAAACAAATAGAATTGTTTCATGTTAAAAACGAAACACCACCAACCACGCAACACTTTCATTACAATCATACATTTAGATAATTGCTTGACTTGTCAATAATTAGACGTTTGATGAATGGTGAAAGCTACAATGGAATCACGCAATACACTTTAGATACGGCATGTTTAATGCACTGAATCATCCGTGCAAGAAAGTCATTAGGGATCCTCGCCTTATTTTCCTTACTGAACTAAGCTTTGTGTATAAAAAAAAAATTTCTATTTATATCATTAAAGAAAAAGGATATAAGGAGGATTATTTATATCCTTGGTCTTCGAGTTGTTGGAAGGATGAATCGCGTTATTGAATTGATCGCAATACTGGCAACGAATTTAACCTAACGAAACTTTGAAACCAGTTTGTCAAAATGTGATACGTCATTAAAAACGCCCTTAACAGTACATGCTATTGTAATAATAGAAAACAATGCTGTACACACCAAAAGCGAAGTAATGTTCATTCACTCTCTTGATAAAACATGTTTGAACCTATTGGTAAAAAATAGAAATCACAAACTACGAGTATATTAATTTAGACACTTCAACTATTTGCTGTCAATATTTTCTCGCATGCTTATTCATTTTTTATCAGGCCTTTTTCTTACCTCAAACATATTCTTCGTTTACATACCATCAAGATAAGATTCGCATATCTTGAGGAAAATGGAAAATTCAATGGACAACCCAACTCATGATTGTAAATTGCATAAACATGCCTCCTGAACTATTTGGCACAAATACAACTTCTTTGTCGCCAACAGTAACCTCTGGGGTCATCGACCCTGTAAACTCTTCCCTGAGATTACTGTACAAGTTATCACAACATTATGGTAAGCGAGTGTTGTGATAGTCACAGCTTTCACTGGGTTGTCTGTTTGCTCGAGCTTGCAACCTGGTTATAAGAGTTAGGCCCCGTTTATGCACCAAGTGCGGTAGCGGTAGCGACAGCGGGAGCGATTCCTAACACCATTGAGTTAAATGGGGCTGTTTATGCACCAAGAGCGATAGCGATAGCGGTTGACCTCCCGCTGCGGTTTCTAATTCGCCCGCTGTGTAGTTAGAAATCGCAGCGGTTGCTTGGAATAGAGCGGTTTTCAACTACATTGAGTCAAATGGGTCTGTTTATGCACTGCGGGAGCGGGAGCGGCTGAAGCCAGGGTTGCCAACTTGATCCATGCGCACGTGCACTTAGGACAAATAGTTGTGTTAATTATTTGGCAGAGTTTGAGTTGGCAAGACTGTGTCCCCCTTCCATTCTCCTTTGACCAACCGCTACCGCTATCGCTCTTCGTGCATAAACAGACTCATTTACAGCGGGAGCGGGCCCGCTATCGCCCCGCTCCCGCACTTGGTGCATAAACGGGGCCTTTACACGTTACAAGAATGACGCCTTTAGAAAAAGGGAATCAATATAACAATATGACAAAAAAAATTGAACTATTGGTTATTGGTTTTTACTCCTTGTTGCTGTTTCCTCATTAACAGTAAACGCTCAGAATTCTTTAGTTTTTTTCTTGCCATATTATGCTCAAGGAAGAAATTGTTTTGAGTTTAGTTGCACTTCTTGA